CGACACGCACGGCACATCTATACCAGAGGACAAGAGAAGTCATGTTATCTGAGCAATTTACTTTCCAGAAACGTATATAATCTGGAAGGAATTTCTCCAGCTTTCAAAAATCTGCCAGGTTTCGGAGGTTGCGGACAACGTTGCACACACCACGGATTTCGAACCAACGTTGGATCACATTGCGCCTTACGCAACGCTTACAAATTAAAGTGTTGGCTAGCTATACGAAATAACAGCGATTCGAGCTACGATAGTCTTCCTTCAGAAAATTGCAAAGAAAGCGACGTCGAGAGCGAAAAAACAAACAGCGGAAATTTTTCAATTAAGTTTAAAAATCAGAAAAACGATATATTTCGCAACATCGAGGCGTGGAGAAAAAATATCGTGACAGAAAAGGCGAACCAAAACGAGGACGAACAAGCGACAGCCGAAGAGAAAAAAGATCTTCCAAAATTCGACTCGACGACTGATAGAGATAAAACTAACACTAGCGTTTCGCAAACGTCTAGTATTTTTGAGAACTCTACAACGCACGTACTGGCAAAGGAGGTAAATTCTGAATTTACGCATACATTTCCTCTCTCACGCTCACCTACGCCGAAAGATGAATTCACTGGAAGTTTTAAACGCCTTACATCATCTCAATGTCCGACATGCGGGAGTCTATCCTGCCGACCGTCTGTCGAGGGTGTGGACGAGGTCGACTGCCATTGTCGCTAACACAAACGATCACGATCGACCTGGCCAGCACTGGGTCGCCTTTTACATCGACGAATGCGGTACAGGAACATATTTCGATAGCTACGGCTTGCCGCCCTTGGACTCAAGATTTCGCTTACGACTTCGCCGAAACTCCACCACGTATTGCTGGAATACGACGACGCTGCAAGGAATACTTTCTCAAACTTGCGGACAATACTGCTGTGTATTTCTATGTTTTATGTGAATGGTTATAATCTTAGCCAGTTTCTTAGTCTGTTTACCTCTGATTATAAACGCAATGATCGATTGATTGCACAGTTATTTCATAAATTTTTTCTTCATTGTAAACGTAAAACAAATAATTCTCATGCTGTATGC